TGATCACTGTTTTGTCTCGTAATTTGCATCATTCCATCAAATATCACCAGTAGCACATGTCAACCCAAGAATCTATGTTGAGGACACTTACCTGTGATTGACCAATACTAAGAATATTGCTGTGATCCTGTAAAGTTTGCCGCAAAAAGTATTTCTTTAAAGAAGAAAATTGTTAGGATCTGTATCAGATATATATAGGATGTATGAACATATCGTCAAAATTTGAGGTGTGATATGGTAGCTACAGGACGGAAAGTAGAGCACGGGAAGTTCGATTTTTGTAATTTATTGCTATGTTCTGTGTTATTTGTCCAGAAATTGATGCAGTGTGATGTCGATAAATAAAACAAAGGAATTATTGTTTAATACTTTGAATTTAGTAAATAAATTACTTTCCAGTATACTTGGATAGATGGTAGGTAAGTGAATCGAGTGGTGAATGCATAGTACTTTGATGAGGCACAAATTTGAATGCATTGGAACAGACGATACACAAACAGAGGATACCCAGAAGAAAGAATTACTCGACCGTTACTGATTTGGCCAAATTTCGTGGGCGATCGACCTAAAATATATTGATTATAGGCTATATTTAAGGATATGGCTGTGAAACGTTATGAATCACTTTGAAGTGATTTCTACTTTTCATACTGACATTTTGCCCATTGAGTTCGGCAATATGGTACGACATCAGTTGCAATGGAATGACTGTTAAGATATTTTGTACGCAATCTACGGTCTTTGGAACCCTTAGGACATGCTTCATACCCGCCAAATCCTGGAAAAAAGTTTTATTAGCAAAAAGCTCAACAAACAAGATTTTCCTATAATAAAATAAAACATACCTTTTCAGGGACTGATTCATCAGCTATGATGATAGGAGCACCCCCACGAGCAACTACTTGTTGTAGAGCATTTAAAGATTTCTAGAACATTCCAGATATTACTAGTCTATAGGTATTCAGTTTCTAAGAAGCTAACCTTATAAACAGAGTCATTACAAATTACCATACATATACGCAAATTCTCGTCTACCATTGCCAACGGGCCATGCTTCAATTCTCCAGACATTATACCTTCACAATGCATATAGGATAGCTCCTGGATAAATTTTTAAAATTCCTTATTCAGCTTTGAAGATATGCGGAGCGGATACCTTTATCTTTAGGGCACCTTCAAGACATGTAGCAAAATTGAAACCTCTGCCCATAACAAGAAGTGATTTCTCTTTATAGATCTCCTGTGCAATTTTCAACGCCTCTTTGTCCAAATCCAATACTTCTCGAATTAGATCTAAATTAGTTTTGGTTGATTAAAAAATTAAGAAAACCTAGAAACTGTCGAAGTAGCCAATGTGTGCACGTTTTTTTAAGAGCTTTATAAAAAATCTGAAGAATGAAAAGCAACCAGAGAGTCAAATTCGCTACCAAGTCACTCGTTCGGCTCGGAATTTAGGAATATTTAGCAGTAATTACAATAAGAGGCATTGACCTCCTAAGCAATTGACTTACATATATAGTTGCACTTACCGGGTAATTGATTAAGCGCATTGATAATCTCCTTCCTTCTGTTTGTCATAGATATACGATCATCTGACAGAACCAGAGCAAACATTAGAAGAGCAAGAATCTGT